AACATTAGTGCGCAGTGTGCAAAGGCACTGATACTAGGGAGTTTTAGTGCTGGGTACACATTCTCTTGGGGCGTTGCGTGCCCAACCCATACCCAACCGGAATGCCTTTTAGTTGGCGCCACGGTGGCACGCACGCAAATGCAAGCCGCACGAAGTTCACACGCGCTCGCAGAGCCATAGCGTCATGTTGCGTAAGTATTATTTAAGTCTTTTTATGATTTAAAATGTTAAATTAAACATGCATAGTGATCAGGGCACTTTTTTTATTGTGTATAGTAATCTGGTATACGCAAAAAAGTGAAAAATACAAGGTTACTGTAACGACAGTGTTGACATCTTGTGACACTTCGTGCAACCGCAGTCATGAACATGTTAGCTTACGCGTAATTTTTTTTGAGGTGAAAATCAATAAAAAGGTTACTCATTTGTAATATTGTCGCTGCGCAGTTTTTGCACCAGATGTACAATGCACAATGTTTCTGCAATAGCAAAGTTGTGGTTCTCTGTTTCACTATGGCCGCACTAGATGGCGACACCTATTCAGCTGGTCGGGGCCTGGCATATGCTTTTTAGTTTCTATGTTCCAGGCCATTCTAGCTTTGGAAATCTGGCTGAAACCGTGTAATCGCTATAAGTGCTCGCACTTTGGCTTATTTTAACTCGACGGCTAGAGTATCCGCAGTGCGGATACCGTGAGTTCTTGCGAAGGTGGACCGCGCGGATGCATGGCCCTATCGCCCCAGCGATCTTGTGACGCATCTGTTTGGGGTTTCGCACATGCGCAATACCGCCGCCCCAACGTCCTGCGTACGCAAGCCGCTTGGGTACCCAGCACTAAAACTCTCTACTGTGTGCTTCAAAAATATGTAGTGTTCCGACGCATAGGATTTTCAATAACCATCCCTTCCCTGGTGTGCCATTCCCTTGCATTCTCGGTGCGCTTCTGGGAGATTGCATGGCACATAATAGTGTGCTACCATGCCATGAACAACACAGTAATGATGCACAGTGTGCAGCAACTGTCAGTGTCTTTCAACAGTGGCCAAAAACAGATTAAATATCAAATTGTCAACAGTCTTGTTCCACTCATAAAACAGCAAGACAACATGTGCTGCATGAGGTGGCTAACTGCAATAAAATGGATCCGATTGAATTGGGTCTGCAGCTGCTCTGTAGTTGGCGAGGGCGACTTCTTAAACAAATTTGATAGGTTTGGCCACGGTGACAAGAGCCAGTCATCACCAAAAACAATAGCTTTTCAGCCGTCCTACCTATTGTCCCCAATACTGTTCACTGGCAAGAGCAGGCATGAGATTTGGAGCAGGATTAAACAGCTGTAGCAGTGCTTCCACCTCAGCAACATCAAGTTGACTGCCGTTGCCTATGCAGCCTAGATTGGTAACCACGCTGCAGGACAGCCAGTCACAGTGTTTCGGCCAGGTGTTTTGGTAACGTTTATTTCATGATTTACGCAACAGATTGCACTGATCGCCTTCTCTAAACTTTTTTGCTTGACCTCTTTGCACAATCACTGTATTTATTCTCAGAGACTTGCCCAACCACAGTGGTCTAGTGGTTATGGTGCTCGACTGTTGACCTGAAGTTCGTGGGATCGAATCCCGGCTGCAGAGGCTGCATTTTCGATGGAGGAGAAAATGTTCGAGGCCGGTGTACTTAGATTTAGGCGCACGTTAAGAACCCCGAGAGGTCGAAACTGCCGGAGCCATCCACTACGGTGTTCTTTATAATCATATCGTGGTTTTGGTATGTTAAACCCCACATATAGACATGCTGCTCCTATGTCCGGGACTTGGGGCCTCCTATGTCGCCCGGACATAGCGGACAACATGCTCGGGTGACATGGGAGGCTCCCAGTCCAGGCATCACTTTAGCGTCCCTTGCAGATTTTTCACTCGGGCAGGAGTAGCATGGCGGCAGAAACAGTGACGTGGCAGCTTCTTTAGTGTACTGCTATGTCATAGTTTCAAATTTCGAACAGCTGCAAAATCCCTTCCAATTCGACAAACTTCCAGATTGAACTAAATAATCTTATCGTGGCACCCTTTGTTAAATCGGCTCAACTGTACGAACAAGCAAATGGCAAGCGATCACTCAGTAGTTAGTTTAAAAAGACTGTGTAGTTTCAGACGTACATTGAGTAAGAAGCCCCAGCCACAAACACAGGCAAACCTGTGTGACGTAAAGCCCTATCAAGGACCAGAAAGTAGTTCAATATACCCGTGACTAGAAATATATGCTCATCTGAAGCTTATCTGAAGGCTCTGCAAGCCTTGGCCAGTTTCAAAAAATAGTGAAAAAGTGCTATTTTCGCAACTTGCATTTTCAAGGTTATGTCCAAAGCATAAAAATTGTGACTAGCGACATCAATGTTGAAAGTCAGTAGCACTATTTAAAGGTACCATATACAGTAGTACCTGACACCGTAAACCATAAAACGATGCATCCCTAGTTTGGTGCGCTCACATTTATTCAGCCAAAGGTAGATGTGGATGGAGCGTGGAAGCATATTAGCTCCTATAGATATGCACAGTGCCCCCACAAGGTCATGTGCAGAGTAAATAGTGTGAATCTACTGGACACATGCCTATTACAATATGCTTTTAAACAGCCCGTTGCCGTAGGTCAGAAATAGTTGAAAAGGTAAAAAGTAACGCCCAGCTTCCAGAACATTCAAGTTGATTACTACTCCTGAGCAACTCTGCAAGCATGAATGCAAATGATGTTTTCATGCGAGCGTGTTGTCTACCTGTGTCACTTACAGCCAAAGTTACCAGTTCCATTTATAATAAGTGGATTCAGCATTTTTTTTTTTTTCGCAGAGTCACTAGTACAATTATTTAGTTGCTTGTTGAGTATCTTTAGGACTATATGCATTTTTCCAACCAACAGATGTTTTAGTGACCATCCAGTTCACTGGTAGTGTATTTGTTGATTACTTCATGTAGTTGAATGGTAAAAACATGCATTGGGAGAACAACAAGTAACATTAATCATGCCCTGGAATACGTGCATTCAACCAAATGTAGACTAGGAGATTATGTTAAATTAATAATAATATGCTTCCGTTCATAGTTGTGCATATATTCATTGAAAAAAAATCACTATATTTTGTACAACTCTCCTTATTGGAGCAATTATTTTTTATTATAGTTAGAAATATTTTAATTTAAAATATTTTCAAGAAAAAGAATATTGAATTTCTGATTTTTTGGGGACTTCTTCGTGAACACTGTGCCACTTTTTATGGGGTTTCTCTTGTGACAATTTCTTGCTTACTTGCTCAGTAGCATCCAGCAACGCTGCACGCAGCATCCCCCTTAAGTCAGCCATTTGCCAAAAACTGCAGTTATAAAGATGAGCCCAGTAGTGTAGGCACCTCATTTTTGTCATGCTATGTCCCAAGCAAAAGATGCAATGTACCATTTCTCAATATAAGGAATAGACAAGAAGAACCAATGGCTACGCAGAGCAGTGAGAGCACAAGCACCGGTGCATTGTTTGCAGTCTCCCAAGTAAAATGGCAGTCGCACAATGCCTGTACAGCCACATACAGTGCAATATTTGGTAACAAATGGCTCCACTTTGCTGTCAATAAACTGCCAACGTGGTACAGCATAGCAAACTTCAATGTCCTAGCGCAATTTTAAGCTCCTAGACGAATGTTCATGTCGACTAAATTATAGGACACAGGGATTTCAGCTACATTTTTTTGATACAGCATGATTAACTATTGAATATAAAACACGAGGTTTATAAAAGTACCATAAAAACAACTTTTACAATGAACCACATAGTAGTCAAGCTTGCCACGGAGCAACTCGAGCAATGCGCAGCGGCCATATGCATTCACTATAAAAGTAGGACTTGTCCAGCCCGGTTATTTGGTTATGATCGCGGCAGCTATTGTGAGAATAAAAAAATGCGACCTGCCTTAATTTTTCTACACTCCAAAGCATTCTTGCTAATATTTTACCCTGCATAATACAGTCGAACCCTTTATGGGAGGCCCCGATGTAACAGACAAATGGGTATAGAGACTATAGACCTTTTTTAACAGAGAGGAAGATCCCCTCCTTTCTGGGCTGCTGTGTCGCAGCACATGTGCCGACTGTATGCTGCTGTGTAGCAGCATGACAACACCATCGGGTCTTATAAGAGTTGTGGCCTTTTGATGAGCATCAACAGGATGGCCGTTCAAAAGTGCCTGTGTGACACTGGTATAAAGGCAATAGTGGTGACCTCTGATAGTTTAGCCAGTCTATGTGTTGTTGCTGCTCTCCCCCCCCCCCCCCTTTTTTTTTATTAAGTGGGATATCAACCAACATGATGGCTCAACATTAATTTCCAGATCTTATGGTACTCAAGAAAGCCAAACGAAAAGCAATTTTATCCATGACCAACTATTCGAGTAGTCTGAGCAAAGAAGCCCAACACTGAGGCTAATCTTGAGTAAAACTGCTTAAAAATCACTGTTGCAAGTTTGTACAATTCAATGTGCAACTCTTCAGCCCATACCACTTACGTGTTCCCTTTCATAAAGGGCCATGTTGTACACATCCATACAGTTCATAGTTCAGCATGGCAAAGCCACTAAATACATGTTTACCAAAAACCTTTATTATTAAGTGTAACGAGCACCGCTGTGGATGGAAGCTGATGGCAATTACAAATTCCTATTTCCGACTGAAGACTTGTTGCTGTTAATGACAAGGGTTACATGACAGCATTAAATTAGGTGTAGAGAAATAACTAAATATTATTATTATTAAATTTTACATTATCAAAAAAGTCGACTGCAAGAGCCAAGAGGCTTGTCATTGCTACTACTTGAAGCACTGAGGTTCAATCTCCACAAGAAATGTGTTAGAAGCTGTGCCATGTGGTCATCTGTCATATAAGACAGACTGCACTATTAACAAATAGCAGTGCTTGATCTTATCTACCCAATGAGCAGCATGCCAGGCTGTTAAAATACTTACCAGCATTTTCACTGTCCCCCAAGAGTTCACTGAGGGTTGCATCTACGTCACCATTATTTCTGTACAGCGCCTCACAGACAACCTCAAGGTCAATGCCGAGTCTTGTTAATGTGGCCCACATATCAGTTGAAATACTCTGCTGAGCTAATTGAGCCCAAACAGCTTGATTCATTCCCAACACAGACTGTGCTGCTGAAGATGAAGATGCAACTGAAGTGCCGGATGTAGCAGAAGAAGGCTGCTGCGGCGGCTGCTGGAGTATCTGAAGTAAAAAAGCAGAAGTAATGAGATCACAGAATCGGAGTACACAAAGTGCAAGTTTGTTTATATAGCCACACTAAGAGTGGGAGGGGGGGGATGGCGCACACAAGAGTAGTATAAAATGAAGTATTGCAAATGTGCTTTTAGCGCCAGTGCAATGACCCTTTGAACATTAGCTGCTGGACACTTGATGTATATAGAAATTTAGTGGTAAGCAATTGTACTGTACTTCCAGAGCTTTACACTTTGGGGACTTGAAGTATTGCTCGGCAGGTAACATTTGTCTCCACTATCTCACCATATCTGTTGAGTGTGGAAGAATCTACACAGCATCAAAGATTAGGCCCCAGATTTTGTTATGCAGAGAAGTGACGTCCATAGCCAGTTGGCTACACACCTCACTAACAAAAACTCTGCGGCATGACAGAATTCCAGACAGTGACAGTGTTCTGAAAAATGATTTTGGAGTTTACAGTATGCAGAAATCCTTCCAGTGTTCTGTCACCTTTTCTTAACACAAAGCAAAGACAGTGTTTAGTGCATAAAGTAGCAAGTAGAAATGAGTAAAATGGCACTACCTCAGCACAAAGAGCTCAATGATGACATGCCCGTAACATCACAGGTTCTACGAAATTTCTCCATCTTGTATTGAGTTTCCATCTCAGATTTACCCCATCTTTGAGCACACTGGTGACTTACCATCTTGTTTTAACTGAATACATAGCTACGAGCTCCCTATGACATCATACTATGCTAACTGTACAGTAAGCAGTCAAATTATATTTTTCAAAGAAAAGAGTGACCTTTAAGGTCCAGTCATCCATTCGTGTAGGAAATATGCGGCAGGTGTCACACACAGAATAGTATGCACTCAGTATCAGCTGGTTCATTTCATTAATTAAGTGGCATTCTATGCTGTATACAAAAAATAGTGCTATTAACAGCGATTTCAAGACAACTGAACATGTTTCAATCTGTTTACAGTGTGAAGAGTTCCAGCTAAGTAATAGGAAAAGCAAGCGTAGTGACTGCATAGAATAGATCATACAAGAGATCTGTTCGAAAAGTATCAGACTATTATTTTTTTGCGAGCACTTTACAGATTTGAAAGAAGTGCGCTTGCATCAGCAGACCTTGAACCTTCGTGCGCACGTGGGAACTTTTCCCTGCCTGCCAACAACGTCAGTCGCTGGGATGTATCGTTCAAGTGAGGTAGTGTGCGGTGCTCATCAGTTTTTCATTGCAAAGAAAATCACAGAGCGACTGGAGCAGTGCTACTGCATCGAATTTTGCCAGAAACTAGGCAATAGCCAAGTCGAAACCATTTGGAACATGAAGACTGCTTTCGGTGACGACACTACGAGCCGCACACAGATTAAGGAGTGGTACAACAGGTTTAAAGATGGCCACACGTTGGTGGAGAGCGAGCCACGATCTGGTAGGCCATCAACATGCCGAAATGACCTGGTCATTGTCGAAGTGAACGCTGTGGCTATGCAGGACCGACGTGTGACAATCCGAAAAATTGTGGAAGAGGTGGGCATCAGCACTTTCTCTGCACATTCCATTATGACCGAAGATTTGGCCGTGAAAAGAATTGCAGCGAAATTTGTGCTGAAACTGCTCACGGTGGAGCAAAAGCAACTTTGTGTTAAAGTCTCACAGGACATACTGGATTTCACAAGCAGCGACCCTAACTTCATGAACACCATTATTACTGGCGACGAGTCTTGGGTGTACGGGTACGACCCGGAAACCAAATCCCAGTCATCACAGCGGAAGCATTCCATGTCACCAAGACCAAAGAAGGTCCGCCAAGTGCGCAGCAACGTCAAAGTGATGCTGAGTGCTTTCTTTGACTTCCGCGGTGTGGTACACCATGAGTATGCACCACAGGGTCAAACAACCACCGAAGAGTACTACAGGGATGTCCCTTATTGCCTACGTGATGCTGAGCAGCGCAAAATACCCGAGTTGTGGTGAACAGGAAACTGGTGCACCCATCACGACAATGCACATTCCCCACACTTGGTTCAGGCATTTTTGGCCAAAAGTCAGACTTCCGTAGTTTAACAGGTTCCTTACCCTCCTGATATGGCCTCCTACGATTCTGGATGCTTGTTTGTTTATTTATTTATTTATTTTTACCCTCAAGGTACAGAGTACATTTCAGAGGGGAATAGGCAATCTACAACATATAAAAAATGAGATACAAAGCACAAACCATACAAATATAGCAACTGAATGAGGCACAAGAATGAATACACCATAAATCGTAATAAAAACTAAAGAATGAGCAATATTTTTATTTTTATAAATGGTGAAGGCAATCAGCAAAATAAAGTAATTGTTGAGTAAAACATAAGAGGTGGTAATCAGGTAATAATTGCTTTCAGAATATGCTTGAAGTTAGTGGAGTCAGTAATGCTTGTTACAGATGCAGGCAGGGAATTCCAATCATCAGAAGTTCTTGGGAGATATGACTGGGCAGTGATTGATTGATTTGTGGGGTTTAACGTCTCAAAACCACCATATGATTATGAGAGACGCCGTAGAGGAGGGCTCCTGAAATTTTGACCACCTGGGTATGATTGGGCATATCTTGTTGTGTGGCAAGGGGAAACCTTAACCTTTTGTTGGTGCTTACGACGATGAGAAATGAAGAGAGCAAGTTCGATTATACGGTAACGAAAGATCGGATTGTGATAACATATTTTATGAACGATACAAAAGTGACTGTATTTTCAGGAAGCCGCTAGGGGAATCAGGCTTAGAGATGCCTTCATTTGGGTGATACTAGCTGAACGATGGTAATTAGCCAAAATGAAACGAGCTGCAAGGTTCTCAATGGATTCTAACATATGAGATAACGTTACCTGATCAGAGTCCCATACATATGAAGCATATTCCATTTGAGGTCGGATATATGTGGTACATAGTAATAATTTTAGTGACAATGGAGCAAGGAAAAAGTTCCTTCGTAGGTAGCCCAGTGTTTTATTAGCCTTGGATGTTATATGTTCCGTATGTAATTTCCAGAAAAGAGTGCTAGTTATGTGGATACCCAAGTACAGGTAAGATGTTACACTTTCAAGGGGGTGACTATGAAGAAAGTAAGTTGGACAAGTTGCGTTCGACCAAGAAATCCTCATGGCCTTGCAGTTTTTATTATTTAGTTCCATTTTCCGAGTATGACACCAATGAAGTATGCTACTGAGATCAGCTTGCAAAAAGTGAATGTTGTTGTCAATAGATAATTTACAATAAATTACACAATCATCAGCAAATAAACTAATTGTGAAAGTAACAGTAGTAGGTAAGTCATTTATATAGATTAGGAATAGAGAGGGCCAAGTACTGATCCTTGGGGAGCCCGGTAACCAACCGGTGCAGTGTTAGAATAGTGTTAGAAATAACGTCGTTAGTGCTAGCAAACTGAACACGAAAAGAAGAAATGCACGAATCCAGTCAACTGCGGGATCAATGTTTAGTACACTTAGTTTATATAAAAGCAGTGAATGGATAACTTCATCGAACACTTTAGCAAAGTAAAAAAATATGCAGTCAGTCGGTTAAAGAAGCGGAGTCCAAAGAAAAATTCAAATCGTTAGTAAAAAAAATTAGTTGAGTATCACAAGAGAAATATTTATGTAAGCCATGCTGAGTTGAGGAGAAGAAAGTATTATCCTCAATAAAATTAACAAGATGAGAAAAGATTATATGTTCCATTATTTTACATGATATACATGTGAGAGATATGGGACGACAGATAGACTATGTTTATCACTGCCTTTATGAACTAGAATAATGGCAGCAGTTCTCCAGTCCTCAGGTGGTACACCATCATGATAAGATTGTGCTTTGCTATTAATTCCATCAATACCATGAGAAGGCGCTAGTTTCAAGTTATCGATAATCCATGCGAATCAAACGAGATGGGATTCATTGAGAAATGATTGTATGATTAAAGCTCAGGACGTTGGGTACCATTAGTTGAATAAAACGACTTAATGAATGTATTGTTTAGTACAGTAGCACATAGATAGTCTGGAACAGAATTTCCAGTGGGTGCAAGCAATAACACTTTACTGGTGTTAGCTGGTTTAATTATACTCCAGAAGCGTTTGCGGTTAGTCTTCAAGATGTTCAGCAAGGTCACGTAGAAGAACAAGGATTTAGTAGACTTTAGTCCTCGCGAATACACTGAAGAAGCTGTCTTGTACTTTGTCCAGTGGATCAGTTTAAGTGAATACTTCGCAATTCTGAAAAGCCTCTTTTTTTTTTTGGTTAGAAAGTCGATTTAGGTATCCGTTATACCATGGGGCTTGGTTATTGGAGTACAGCCAGTAGAGAGGGATATAAAGATGAATCAGTTCAGACACTTTATTTCGGAACAAAGACCAATTGGTTTCTACTGAGTGCTCGAAATAATGTGGTAAGAAAGTGTCTAGGAAAGAGCTTAGTTCATTCTTAATGTCAGAGTAGTTACCTTTGTTCTAGTCTCTAATAGTCTTAGAGCATTTTGCTGATAGTGCATGCAACAAATCAAACGTGAAATGCACAATATTGTGGTCGCTCAGGCCAGGCATGTGCAATACAGGTGACATGAGGGTCTTAGATGACGTTAGCACTATGTCTATGAGGGGAAAAAAGTGAGTAACAAGCATGGGTGAGGCGACGATTTGTGATAAACCAAAATCCGTGCAGGTGGTGATAAAGTGGTTGGCCTCGGCTGTCGGTGGGTATGAAAATGGGCATGCGTGCTGCCAATCAAAGTTCAGGTAGGTGATGTCCCCCATTAGTTACTATGACTTGTGCTTTAGGATAACGAATTCAAAAGTTGGGAGGACATTGAAAAAAGAGTGATTTCAGACAAGGGAGGAAGGACATTATGGCTGCAATGACAGCTGAGCTAAACTCCATTCCAAAGAGGCCTTCTCAGAATGCTTCCAACAGTGGCCGAACCACTGCAAGATGACAGATGACAACAGACTGGTTAGG